GATGCCGATTGCCGAATCGGCACCCTGAACGAGCGACTGCAGAGGCGTCACACGACGCCGACCTTACTTTCGGGGCCGAACTTGGGTCCGACGAGGATGAGCCCGAAGGGACCCGGGAGCCAGGATGGCCCAAAGATGGAGGTGCGGGTGTCGTGCGTGCCGACGCCCGGCCCTGAACCGCAGGATATCCGCGTCCGTATACCGGAACCGAAAAAACGGCCCATGAGCCCACCTATTCTCGAGTCCACGATGCGAACCAGGTGTCCGTCCGTTCCGGAGAAAGACTTCTACCGGAAGACCTCGTCCTTGGAACGGCGGGACCGTTACCCGACTCTGTCCGGCACGGAGATTAAGCGGGGCCTTATGTCAAATTCCGCAGAGCCACTACAAACACGCAGACGGAATCCCATGTTGGACCGGAGGAATCGATATCCGACTATCACTGGTGCGGAACTCAAACGGAGTTTGGCGATTGGCAAGTGTCCTCTCGAGGACGGTCTGGATCTCAGCTTAGCACCATGGCCCGGCATGAAATGGGCCTGCGTTCGAGTGCTGCATCTCTACTGCAAGGTGTTCGACCAGTTCGAGCTGTTTGAGCTGATCGTTAGGTAATTGCATGTGGTGGCTGTAATGACATGCCTGATTTGATAAACATGGCTCGTATAAATAAAAAGTGTGTACAATTGTGAATCTACCTCATGTTATTAACATATGTTATTACATTCACAAGATTTTCATTATCTTCACAACATACTAAATTTTAGATTTAAAACTCTTGCTGATTCACTGCAGTCGTTTTGAATTATGATGTTCGAAGCAAGAAATATACATACAGAAAATTCTTGCAAATTATATTAAAATGTAAGTATTTTTAATAAAACAAAATTTGAAATCGATAGAACAGATTTGTAAAATGTACCAAAAATTCCCTTTATATGCCGATAATCAATAAATAACTATATATTTGAAACTGAATTATGTCTAATTAGAAAATGAAACAAATTATATGAAAAATTATATATGATCTGTTACATTGAGATAAATATAATTTTATTTTATTTTGGAATAAAAGGAGAGTTCAATATATTTTACACGGTACTCTATCAAGTGTAAATATTGTTTTATTGAAAAATATTTCTATATTAATATATTTTGCAAGAATCTTCATTATATATTTTTTCAATTTGACGGCATCAATCTAAAGATACGTGGTGAGTGATCAGGAGCTTTAACCTTCCAAAGCTGAATCACCAAAACTATAACATAGTTATTGACACTGAATCTATCAGATCTATTTAACTTACATGTTAATTGAAAAGCACTAATTAATTTCGAAAAACAAAAATAACATAATTTGTATAAAAAAGAATGAATACTAAATTTTTGATAAGAATAATCCAAATTTACAGATGTAATGAAAATTAAATCGTTTGACATTTTTTATATAGAGATTTATAATTGAATAAGTCCAATAGATCCGCTGTCAATTCCGGAGGATTAAAGCAATCGTTATAAAAATATTGTTAATTACAATATTGGGAAAATTTATATTTTTCTTTTATTGAATTATTCATAAAATGATTACACAAGAGAGACAAGACTAAAAAAATCAATTTGTTAATATAAAATTAAACTGAAACGTGGCATTTATAATCATATCTAGAAAATTCTTCTAACCATAAGATCTTTCTCAATATTCTAAAAAGAGAATAAAAGTTTCTTTTAAGAAGAATCTCAATCAAAGTTAAGCTTTTGATTCGATTGACTCGGAATTGCTAACCGAGAGGGGGTATTTGTTTACGAAAGATTTTACATGGTCCGATCCATCAACGTGGCTTTTAGGAGATCGCTAAAGCCCAACGAATATAGCACGAACGCAATTAGCTGCGTTAGTATCTATTAGGCGAAGCCTCTAACAGTTTCCCCAGTGCTTTACGATGGAAAACGGCGGGCAAGCAGCGCCAAGCCAAACCCAACCGAATGATTTATGTTGGACTACGTTTGTAGGTTAACGAAGTTGATTTTTCACGCTGCCACGTTTGCTTGCGCGAACCAGATTTTATCAAGCACGCAGCTTCTCTCGCCTCTTCTTTTATCATTACACAAGATGCAAAGATTATCATCATCTATCCTACGTACGATTTTCTAATATTACAGAAATAATTTTTTTCTCTAACGTCAGATCTTTTATAACACGAGAAACGTTTTTCATCTCCCTTTTTTCTTCTTGTTTAGTCACATTAATGTAAGTCAATAGTGTAGTATGGCATGTTGCGTTTTCATCCCATTTTTTCGATTTTCGTGTTTCCTTTTTGTGTTCTCGACATATTTTACGCCTCTGTAAAAAAGAATCTCTCGTGAAATTTATCGTGCTATTTCGTGCGTCACGTCTGCCACTTATAAAATTAATTCGCCATATCGATTATCTAATATAAACCCGAAATAAAATTTCTCTTTCAGGTTTTTAAGTCTCGACTATTGAATCATAAAGTAAACTGAACACTTGGCAGAAGATATATTATCGCAAGTAAATAACGAATTTCTAAAAATGGTAAGAAGTAGTTCTGCGTGAACTTCTATAAAAAAAATGTTATCGTCTGCTAAAATTTATTGTCAAATTTATGGTCTCTAAAAATAGGAAATGATAAAAAATGGGTATAATAATATATTTCGTATATTTATCTTTTTTGTTTATATCCGTGACTCAGCGAGCGTCTGACTTTTTTGCCATAACTAGGTAAGAGTTAAAAATAAAAAAAAATTTCGAATGTGTTTGCGATCAATGTCGGTGGTAAGTGTATATGCGCGCAGCGATCGTCGACGTGAATTGGAATGAATTACGATCCACGTGCAAGTATAACGTTACACACGTTCATCGAATTAACGAGGCGTCAACATTAATTTGCATCCAACCTCGCGTAAAATATTGAAACGCGTTCGACACAAGACACAAGATTAAACCTGGCTGTAATAAGGGCATTGAGGAAGCGGACGAACGGATGCCTTCTATAGGATCTACGAGAATTTTTTTTTATAGCGCAGGATTCCGTGAAACCGCGAGTTATGATTCGTTTGCAAATAAGATAACTGCACGACTGACATTATCAACGTGACATTACGGACATCGCCAATGATACCCTGGAGATGTTTTCCACGATGAGAAGTAATCGTCCTTGACATCCTGCATTATTATGTATGTATTATCGTTCTTGCCTTTTATCGATTTTAAAATTTTACATATTAAACAGGAAGTTATAAAGTATAGAATTAAAAAAGAATTTATTATTTTATAAAGTAGATTATTTTTACATTTATATGTAATAAAAATATTTTATAAATTAAACATTTAATAAAAAGGTACATTAAATGTATTAAATAAAAATAGTTGAAAACTTGCGGAATTTTAATATATGTTATTTTGGTATATGTAATACATAATTGAGAACTGTAGCATGTAAAAATCATACAGAAAAGAAATTAGATAAATATAATAAAATATCTACTATTGCATATTAATAATTTATAAGTAAATCTTATTTACAATTTAAATAACAGCATGCGTACATACAAATAAAAATACATCACACATTCAAAGTGAAACTATATTTATAACCCATTAAGATTGATATAATTGCTATAAAAATTAAATAAAAATTTGTATTTTGAATGATTAAGGCAAGGAATAAATTACTATTAAATGGTACATATTAATTTGCAATGAATGTTCGTTTTTTCTTTACGCCAATGAGTCCTAAAATGAAAACAAAAAGCACGAGAATAAGAAGGAAAAGAATAAACTCTTACCTACGTGATAATTCGAATCCTTATCCCGCTGTTATCGTGTACAAAGCATAGATATAGCTGCGAGAGAAGGTCCCCTCGCATTAATGGCAAGGGTCTCGGCAGCCTTGGAACCGACATCCGGAAGGGTGCGGTAAAGCCGTGATAAACGTCCGGCGCAAATGCATCCCCTTGATTATACGATCGCCGTTCGATACAGTACTAGTATCGATCCGAGGCCTCTCGCGCGCTCTTTTCGCTAGTAAAAATTTCCTGTCCCACCCACGCATTACGTACATGCACGGAAAGAATGATTTGGCTGATCTATCTAGCAATTTAATTAGAGATGCAAATTTGAAAATAATTTTGTTAGGTTATCGAAGTGATTAAGTAGGACGCTCAGGCTGATTGCTGGAATGTCAAAAGTTTTTTGCAGTATTACTTGTCATGCTTAAATTTCCTATATAATTATTTTGATGATCCAGTAAAATTATTTTCAGATCTGTATCTGCCTACTCTCTGATTCTTCGGAGTGGAATCTCATTTTAAAAAGTGAAAATTGAATCAATCTTGAAAAAGAATGCCTCAATTTTTAAAAATGAAATTCCACTCTAAAGAATTTAGAGAGTAGGTAGATACAGATCTGAAAATACTTTTGCTGGACCATCATAGCGACAGTTGTTGTCCTCATCTTTTTATAAATGTCTTAATTAATATTACACTTAATCAATGACTTAATTAATTAACGCGTCAATGGCGTTTAGTTCCACAGTATGACAAAATAATAATTGGTAAAATAGTGATAATTGTCGCAAAGCTATTCGCGAATATTTAAAATTAATGCAGCAACGACTAATAAAACGTCACGTCGTGGTAAAAAATTAAAGAGAAAATATAACACAAATTCCAAAATGAAAAAAATTGTTAGCACTTAACTTAATTATGTGATTATCGACGCACAAACGTGGCACATGTAAAAGTAATAAAACTTTATTGGGTACCTCATCACAGCGCCCCATGTCTTAATAAAGGACACACAGCAAATATTTATCAGAGAACTTCTTTTCTTGGACGAAAAAGATTTAATTGAAAAAAGTTTTGAGTGGAGATCTTATATGTAATATTTATATCCGTCTATCTTGAATAGTGAAAAGATTTCATTGCACATGCCTAGAAGATCTGATTCTAATTAACAATGTTTTTTTTTTTTTTTTTTTCAGAAAAAACTGTACTAGCTGTAAGTGTCCGCGCGAGGCCCACGATGTCTGCCACGAAGAATGGGTGTCGGTCAGATCCCGTTTGGGACTTAAGGGTGACGAGTCGAACGGACCTATCGGTGTGGATCCCAGAGAAAGAGGTCTCGCTTGGGTACCTCCTGGACTTCCGTCGCATAAGGTGAAATTTTTTCTTTGTTTACATTTTTGTATTGAAAACGAGTATTAAAATAAAATTTATACAAATTATATACAAATTAGTACATATATTACATAAAGAAAGAAATATCAACAGAAGTTGCTATGTAGAAAATAAAGCGTATTTCATTATCAGTATCTCCATATTTAAAAATTAATGCTTGTAGAAAAGATTATAACTCGCATAAACCGTATCCTTTTCCTCTTCCTTTCGCCGTTAAATAAACTTTTTAAAATATTCTTTAAAAATTCTTCGATTCCAATTTGATTTAATATTTTCATATCAGCACACATCCATCTTATTTTTATCTTTTAAAAATATTCTAATTTTTTATTTTCTAATTAGACATAACTGTGCCTATCACAATTTTAATTTTTGGATCTCACAAAATACGTTTATCGTTGTTCGTGCACGGACAGAGTTCATACAGCTGACAAAGGTGGTTTCCCTAAACGACCGTTTGCAGTTTATATCGCGAAGCGAATGGGATAATAACGGGTAGTTGTGGGCGGAAGAAAGGTAGAAGCGAAGCATGCATAGTGAAATAGACGTGCGAGACGTTTGACGGCCGACGAGAATCCTGGCGTGCCGCCAGCCTTCAGTATTTTTCAAAAAATCCCAGCGCAAAGCTTTACAGCCTAGAACTGGTCTTTATCACCGCCGGTGTGTTTTATTACGGACGGTCTTCACGGTTTTTTTTCCCTTAATGAGTCTGAGCCACTTGCGACCAATCAGCATCATGCATTTACGATGTTTTTGATACCAAATATTGAAATCGCGTAGATCGTTTGCACACATCTTTTTACGAAGACCAATATTACGGACGAAAAAAAATCGATATTCATATAGAAGCTGAAAAAAAGCTAACATTCTATAGTTACTCTAGAGAAAAGTGAATTACTTGTTTGTACATATTTGCAAAAGAAATTTTATTGACATTTACAAGTAGAAATATTACAGCTTATGTAATTAAAACTGATAAATTGTTTCTTGCAGGTGGAAGAATATTTCTCGATGCTACCAGAGATCGCTGTACCAAGACTTGGCACGCCTGGCGAACGGCACAGAGATCGTCAGTTAGCGATTCAGTTGCCTAAACAGGATCTAGCAAGGGCCTATTGTCGCCATTTGGATCCCAAACATGCCAGCAGCGCTGATGATTTCATGGCCGCCAGGAATGAGATTGCTCTGGACATCGGTAGCGTACAAGAAGTTCTCGAGAGAGACCTCGTGAGTATAGAACTTTCAGCTTCAATAGCAAGTAAAAAAAATTCTGAAAGTTTTAATATCGTAAGGAGTTTCAGGATTATCGAATACGAAATATTAATTCGTAATGAATTAATGAATATGTTTATTTATAGTATTCAACATATCTGCGCTTCTCTTCGTAATTCAACAACTCTTTTCTGTTTCTTTCTTGATTTTCATTGGTTATGTTCAGTAAAAACAATTTAATAAGTACTTGCATTTCTTGAATTATAGTTTTAGATTTGAATTGAGTTAAAGACTATTCCTCTAGATTAAAAAATTTAATCCAATTGGTACAAAGTGCTTACTTTATCTACTAAACGCATTTTTTAAACAATGCGCGACTATCGAAAACGCGTTAAAAATTTACAATTTATATACAATGTTTTATGATGTGCAATTTGTAGCCTACGGACCATGTTGTCAGCCTGTAAATTTTTGCGGTCCGCCGGACCATAGCCAAAAGTAAAAAAATCATATTTTCCATTTTATACAAACGAAATAAACATTATACGATCTGCGAAATTTTATCTATTCCTGAAAATAATCCTCTGAAAATATAATCTTTAAAAAAAAGGATGCTACTGTTTTATGTAATATAAAATGTTCGACACTAGAATTGCTCACCAATTGCAAAATGAGATCTTTCTGTAAAATGAAAGAGTAATGAAACTTAGGAGATTAATTCTGAATAGCAAACGAATCCGCGTCAACAACGTAGAAGTTTCTAATATCCAGGCTTTTCTTTCAGGAGTGTGGCGTGTGCGAATCGTCCCTGAAATACGGCAGCCTTGCTGTGTCAGCTAGTAAACTGGGTCTCCTCTATCACCCGACGTGCTTTAGATGCGCGGATTGTAAAGAGCTCCTGGTCGATCTTGCTTATTGCGTGCACGACGACATGCTTTTCTGTGAGAGGCATTATGCGGAACAACTTAAACCAAGATGCGCTGCATGCGATGAGGTAAGTACCTATATTTATACTCACACACAAAAAAAGAGAGTGGTTACATTATATATAAAATAATATTGGCGACTATTGCCGAACTCATGTATTTGCAAATTATTACTGCATAAAACTTTGTAAAAATTTGTGGTACTTTGACTGATAACAATGTAATACGAAATTTTATGACTTGAAAAAATAATGTCTATATCCGCCTTGAAAATTTATTTTAAATTTTATTTACAATTTTATTTGAATTAAAAAATTTATTTTACACTTTGACTTTAGCATTTATTTATTTTTTTATTTTTACAAAATGTAGATTAATCCACTGTTACCGTATAAGATCTTCAATTATTTTTATTCAAATTTAAAAAATATACATATGCTTAGAAGGGACTCTCAATCTTTAAAATAACAATAATAAAAACATTTAAAGCTAATAAGAGTGAGCGGAAAGAGATGCGCAAATTGTTAAATCAGAAAATTTATTTCGCTCTATTTGATTTACGATGTCTTCTTTATTCAGAATTCTTGAATGTTTCAATCTCTTTGGAGTCTTCAGCAATCAGATATACATTCTTAATTGCAATCCGCCAAAATTGGATTATTCAGATTGCCAAAACTAAAATGGATTCTCGACAGACGCCAAACATGTCATGAAGATTTGGAATGATGTTAACATCACCAGTAATATTAATTGTTAATTTACAAAGTAATTATACATGCTAATTTTTATTATATATAATTGTTAATTCACAAAGTAATACCTTTCAATATACGACTGAATTTTTGTAAGTAGATGTTGAGTTTGACATTGTTAAGAGAAAACTATTTAATCCAATTATACGATGCGGAATATTGAGTATGTCAAACATCAAATTTAGTGACGTGAATTTTCTGATTTAATAATTTGCGCATCCCTTTCCGCGCTGACTTTTATTAGCCTTAAATGTCTTTGTTGTTCTTTTATTTTCAAATATCTTGATTTAATGGTTTATACGAGTTACACGAAGTTCCATATAAATATAAATAAATTTTAAAGCCGTGTGTAAAAATCAAGTTTAATTGATAACATTAAATTTTGTAATATTCTAGCGTCAAGATATTTCAAAATTATTCAAAAGTTATGTAAATAAATGCATGATTGATATAAAGATAAGTAATCAAAGACATTCGAGATACTTAAAATGTTTAATTAAAACTTAAAAAGACATTTGCTGTCCATATAAAACAATAGTGGATAATATCTACTAAGAACAAAATTATCATTGGGCGTTAACGAAGAAAAGCCGCCGAAGTAGTCGAGGTAGGTAATTGTCAGACCACAGTGGTTAGCGAGTTTATCCTCAGCCATCTGCCTTACCGGCGACGGTACGCATCTACTTACAAAATGCAACGGCCTGTGTAACTGGAATTGGCACAGAGCATTTGCGTGAGCTCGATAAAAGCGGAATTGTATAAAAAGCTAAATAATACAAAGTATAAATATATAAAGAATACAAAAATAAGAGATCGCAATCGTAGTTTGATTTACAATTTAAAACTGAAAAACTGTACAGAATCGATTATACGCAAACCGATCATATCTGTATTCGAATACGCTCTTTCCCGGGATGTCGACGGAGTCGTCCTATCCATTTAAGGTATTCTCGCGACGCTGTAAGGTTATACCTCGTACCGTACATCATTTCGCCAGACGTTTATTACGCCGATGGCATTGCTTTTGCATTAAGATAACCTGAAATCTCAATGACCTAAATATAAGTTGTCGTCAAGGTTCAAGCCGAGCGTCCCGGCAATTTGGTTTTCAATGAATACATTTTCTCTAAGCTCCACCGGTCCTTTATGGAGACTAATAGGCACGTGTTTGAATAATATATATGCAATTTTTTCAACGTGAGCACGTTAATTATTTGCGCTTTCTAATAAGTACAACACATATAAAATTCTGTTTATCGCGTTTGTTTATACATTGTATATTGCGAAATGCTATGTAACGTTAGCTCTCTCTTAAAATATCTGAAGAATAATATTAAATGTCGCGCGATCGCATGCCGTTGTTTCGCCTGTTGCATAGAAACTGGGCCACTTTCGGCTTTATTTAGATGAACAAAAATAGAGATCGAGTAGGATAGCGGAGGAACATCATAGTCGGTTCATCACTTTTGGAACTGCGCAATGCAAATTATTCTGCGACAACATGAACCGTCGATTTATGCGCCAAGATTCCAAGTTTTTCATTGTGATCCACCAAGCCAGTTGGCGGATTGTAATAATTTATACGAAATATACGTGTAAATTATTAATAGAATTGAAGTTGACAATCATATCTTCAACAATTTAGAAATATTAAGTTTGAACTGAATTTTTTGAAAAAATGTATTTTTCATAAAAAAAAAACTTATTTACATCAGCCAAAAATTATTTTGTCTTTTAATTATTCGTTTACAAGTATGCATTGAGCCTTTTATTTTCTATCAAAAATTATTAATGTATCGATAATGTAATTCAACAAAAATGACGATTGATTAAAAAAAAACCAGTCATTAAAATAAAAATTCTTGAAGATAATTCCTCGAAATTCCTTATAGAATAAAAATGATAATGTTACTTTATTTTCAAACTTCTCTGAAATGGTAAGAATTTATTACAGATTAATCCATATAATGAAAATGATTACAGTATTGCTGTAATTTATGGAATATAATTCTACATAATTTATGTTATGTAACGTGGGATCCTTCGAGGTCGCGAAATTCACCGAAATATGAAAAGTGCCAGCGTTTCGCCACTGTTTCGTCAAGAAATGTTGCCTCGAGTTGGTTTTAATCCAACCGGAAACCTCGCCTGCCGGTAATCTATTTTGATTCCTTGTCGAAGCTCCCACCACGATGGATCCAGAGACTGACCCGTTCGGGTCTTTTATTAGAGCCAGTCAGAGAGTTTCAGGAAGGGAACGAAAGACGACGAAAGCGCGCGAATAAATCGACGTAATATCCTTAATGCAGTATTAGGATTCGTACTTTTATTTTATTCGTTTAAGAGAAAATAAATATCTCTTTTTATTTCGTTGACTAATAAACGGAAAAAAAAAAGAAAGAAAAGGAAAGTGTCCGCGCCTTTTCCCGATACGAAATCCGTCGTGACGACCACGGCCTGCGGTCACTCGAGAAAGGTGGTTTTGGATTTCGGTAAGTGAAGTGCGCCAGCGCGTAGTCAGACACGGTTGCGCGATAATCGCTCGAGGAGATAAGTGTTTACGGGTCGGCTGCCAAGATGTCCGCAACCGCGAATGATCGGAAAGAAAAGTCGTCGCGTAAAAGTCACGCGGGATGGTAAGGACCTGGTGAAATGACCCACTCGCTCATCGATTTATGTCTGTATATCTGATAATAAAGTACGCAAACACTATTCCCCAGAACAGAGTACACATTCCCCCTCTCCTATTCGCACCCGCGCGAACACCTCGTAAAATTACGACGAGCCTGAGGATACAAAAACAATTTACACAAAGACAATTTACGCTACATATTTACAATGTCGCGACGATGTGAATTAGAGATCGGTCCGTTTACGATAAAAATGATGTGATAACGAATTGTATAGTGACAATCGATTAAAATTGTATTGAAAGTTGATATATTTTAATAACACGATTTAATTCGAAAGATCGTACAATATAGAGACAATGTATATCGGTGCGAGATATTTACGATATAAACCGCGCAAAATACGAGTTATATAAATGGAGCTCTTATTTTTTATGGGGAGAGACACGCGATTTTGTGGCACGGTTGAAACGTTCTGTCGAGACTTTGCGAATGTTCTGAGCCTTTGAACAAGCAAAGAGCGGGTTTTATACGAAAATATGGCGTAACAATGACGCAACGTGTCGTAACAACGTAAAATTCTGGCACATTATCTATTTCAAGCGAGCAGCGTTTTTAAGACATGCAACTGCCGCATTAAAATCAATATATGAAGTTGGAACGGATTCGTAGGTTATGCTGTTTAATATACTATTTTTTTTGTATAGCTGAATTAACTCGCATTTTAGTTAGGCAATTGAGTATTAATTTATGTGTGTATATGCACTAAAAAATTATTTTTAGAAACGTTAATATATGATAAATATTTAATTTAATAATTTTTTTATTATCTGAGTATAAATATGAATAAAAATATCTCAATTTGTATTTATTGATTCTGACGAACAAATTATATAGATTTTCATGTATTTGCAGCATAAAAATTTGAAGGCTGGTTTTAATATGAAATAAATTTTTTGTCTTAGAAATAATTTAAAATTAATTAATACAGTATGTAAGAAAAATAATACAAAAATAATAAACGCTTGAAATTATTTTCATATTTTACGTAAATTAATCGTAGTGCTTCAAAGACGTGACATTATACGGACATTCGTGCTAAAGTGATTTATCGAGCAGTCATTTCGTGTACCAATTTATTGTGTTGGCAAACTCATAAACTGAAAACATAACAGAAACAACGCAAACAAACAGTTATGTACCGAAAATTTGCCGTTTTGTCTAGTTATAGTGCCAATTTTGCAAGGTCGTTTGCTTTTAGATGCGATTCATTATAATTTAATCTTGATTAAAGCTTTTAGTAGCGAAAGATCGTTTTTTACTTGTTCGTAAAAGCTCGATGCCAACTCGAACAGCTAAAAATGTGTCTGTGAATGCGCTGATTTGTGTTAATTATAGCTCATTCACTCGATTGTATAGTAATATAATCCAATTCTCTTGAAAAATTATATTTTAACCAATATATTCGAGATCTAATTTATTTTAAATTATTTTTAATTATACACATATAATATTTATTAATATTTAAACGGATGATAAACTATTACGGTCGAGTAGCATGATATAAATGGCAATACCACTCCTCTGCAACAACAGCCAACGTTTTACAAATTGCTGATGAATGAGACGTTTAACAAAAATAATTATAATGTCAGTGACACTCGTCAGTAAGAAACACTTTGTGAT